GTGGTGCGTCTTCATATTGATTAAATCTTAATAATGCTTGGTTAATTTTTATTTTATTGATTTTAACACATATATATATTGGTACAAGGCAGCACCAAATACATATGCGCTACACAGATCTCATTTGATATGGGTGAGGGCTGTGATACTGCACGGGTGCCCAAACCAAAGCAGGTAGTTTTCTTAGGGAGCCACACCCAGGGCCTTCCACCTGAAGGTCTGATCCACAAGGCAGTGGAGCATCGTAAGGAGATGCAGTCCCATGGTACCCGGTGACCAAAAACTGGTTCATACGCCATTTTTTCCGCGGGATACTGGAGTCCATGTGCACCATTGGTTTGGAATCAGTGTTTTCCAACTCCCCTAGATGGACTCTCTGTGTCCACCAACCCGGTTAAAGCGCCAGACATTCACTTCTCGTCCTCTCAATTTGGTAAACAACACCCGTGGTACGAGAAGGGAGTGAGTAGGACTTCCCTGTCAGAGGCTATATACGCGTGACCATGTGAGAACATGTCGAGGGAAAGAGCGGACTCTCCCCACTCTCGGCCGTACCAGGGCATTTGGGGGCAATGCTTGTTTAAAATTAATAGTGAAACACATGTTATTATTAAAATAATCTACTGGTAATGAAAATATCAAGTACTCTTTATGTATTTCGCATATTTCGAAAATAGAAATAGGATGAATTAATAGAACAATGATAAAAATCCATTCTTAAAAAGATGGATGGAAAGCAACTAGGCAATTTTTGTTAACCAGTAAAAACAGTAGAGACTGATCATTTGGAATTGTGAATACCAACAACGGAAAACTACGTCCGTAAGTTGACGAGCTACATTTTCTTTCTAATTTGTGTTACGAATGTAACATTTTAAATCTCTGTTCATATCAGATTATGTCTCAGTTGCATCTAGAAGATAGACGATATGTACAGCTAAGGAACCCTTGAACTGTGAGATTAGAATTATTTTATACATTTCTTTCTACAAACTAATTCTTTCTTCCTGTATTATATCCTTATACACAATCTTTCTTTTATATATTACTACCATTGAAGTAACTACTCCTATGAATTTGGTGATCATCTTGTTGTGCTAATGAGATGTGGCAATTTGGACCGATTCATATATATGCCTGGTCCTATGTTGTAGCTGACTGACTGACAGCTAAGGTTTAAAATCACCCATTAAGTAAAGTTTATAATATGAGTCACACAAACCTGCAAGTTCTGATTTTTTTTATGAACATGTTGCCGTTTGTTGAAAACATCTTTGGCAATCATTTTCTAATTGTAATGAGAATGCACAAAATCTTCAACATAAGACAGTCCAACAAATCAGTAAAGGGTGAATAGTTTTCTCGAAATTAGTCGTTAAACAGCGAAAACTAGGGTTATTCCCATGAGATACAACAACTCATGATTGTAATAATGATCATCAGGATAATGCGTAAAAGCCTTTCAGTCCGAATATATGAATAAGTTTCACATACACAACTGACGAGTTATCTATATCACCAAGTAAAGGAAGGAAATTCAAAACCATTCTTAGTAGTGCCTGAGAATTTATTGATCAATGAAGATGACATACATATTTCATATGGAAACCACATGAATTTCGACAACCGTCTCATCATGAGATGAGTGTTTCATCCACATAAGTCTTTGATTGTCTCAAGAATTCTGTTTTCATCGAAAATCGTACAACAGTAAATACCTCCGAAAATTATATCATCTTCACTCTTAAAAATGGACATGGCAAACGACAGTGATGATCGTTATTAGAATCCGATTACTACAATCTAGAATCACTAATAGTCCCCGGAAATATGCATTTAATTGACCGATTGATTTGATGCTTTTGATTAAATGAAGGGTACAGGTGGGGTGTAGAGAGGGATGGTTGTTAAGAAAATCTCACACTCTTAACAATCAATTCTTGTTGGAGGTATTCTAAGTATTATGCTTTGTTTCTCTGTGCTATATATTCTTTGGAAAAGAATTGTAGGCTAGGCTGAAATACATCAGAAACTCAATTTCCTCGCCTTTGGGATATTAAGGATACATCAATATTTCTATTGTAAACAGTCCACTCAAAAGTCAGCATAATTAAAATTTTGGTAATGATACGGACGCTGACTTCAACATTCTATCTCTTTAATATATTCAATATCTTATTGTTACTAACTTTCAGATAAGCGGTGATGGATATGACATACTTTATTACATAGATTCCTTGGGATGAATCATTTCTATCACCGTTATCTCAAAAAATAAATATGTTTTGTTCGTTGATCAACCTAATAACCTGAATTTCGTTGAGTTTTGCCATACCATAAAGAAAAAAAAATCGAGTGCTGTTTGAGGTATGAGGGCGGTTATCACTTCCCGGTTGCCCACACCGTGGAAGGGATCTTCCAGAGGTGCCTGAAAAGGAAATTGGATTAGAGGTGGTCTTAGTGACCTGAGACCGTGACCTCAGTGCCCAACAAACGAGTGCTTGAGGTCGGTCACACACGACCTTTTCGTGAGTAATTTTCGTGTTAGCTCCGTACTTGTTCAAATCTTACCGCTGGAGACGAATATCCATGGGGTAAGGCGATGTGTTCATTTTTAGGGTGGACCTTTTCTAACCCCACCCCTTCTTGTGGGAAGGCAGCATCGCTGTCATGCTGGTTGTCTGAAGGGAACACCTTACTGCTGCCACACCTCTGTACAGCCAGCAGTACAACTTCGCCTTCGGACCTTAGGTTTGTTGCTTTTAGTCTTACCGCTCTTCAATCGACCTGTCTGACACGGTAGGACCTTGAGGAACGGTTGTTCCAGCCAGTATAGCTCGGTTGCTTCATCACGATAGGCAAGCCCGACCACTACGTCAAGGTAGCAACAACGGTCGGGATATTTTACTAAACCACTGTAATTTTGCATTAAACAATAAACTGATCATCCTCACCCGAATTTTTGTACACTACACTACTCTGTATATGTGAATATTTTAATACAAAATCTCAGAGTTGATGAATTGTAATAAATATCCATGAACTATTTGATATGATTTGTGTGTTTTCCAATTACTAATTACCTACCTACATAGCTTTAGAAAGAAAAAAACGATATGGTAAGTAACAAATCAATATATTACGGACTTCTAACCTAAAAATAATAGTTTACGGATTGTTTTAATATAAGTTAATACATATTGATTATTCACTGACAAAAATGGCAATATATAAGAGTACAATATGATATGATAAATATTTCGGTACTATTTTTAGTAGAATATATCGATAAGTTGAGAATAATATTAATAAAGATACTTCAATCTGACAACCTGTTAAACTATAAAGAATAACTACCAAAGTAATTATAATCTGATTAAGTGTTTTTGTTGGAGTTCAGTAATGACTTAGTATGGTTCATATCAATAAGCTTCTATTTAACAAATAACATAATGACTGTGAATAACAATCAAAGAGACTAACATTCTTAATTAGAACGCAAAGACAGAACTACCTTTTATCGGTGTATTGTCATTCTGATTTAAAAACTCAGTTGCATACATCAACCACACGACCATAATGCAACAAAAATGAGAAATCATAATCTGTACATAAGTAAGTCAAGTAATACAGAAGTGAACAATAAGTGCATAATTGATTAACCGTAACTTATGGACAACATAACATAACATTTAACTCATGAAATGAAAGTATGTAATAGGCGTAACAGAAAAATTCCACACACCACGTATTTAATGAAGGGCTATATATATATACTAATTTCCTACATTATCATTCTAAAATTTCCATCTCTCCTGATTATTTGCACACGAGTCAAACGTAAACCTTCAAAGACAGTAGAGGATTTATGTAATTATTATTTTCATGATAAGATTAGTAAGATAGCCGTGTACCACTTGTTAATTGCTAAATAATTAATAAGTTAGTGGCTAGTGTCACAATGCCTTTTTAACATACAACCGTGAGCCATAACTTTGTCGTTTATGATAACAGCTTGTGGACGCATAGACTAACAAACTATATCAGTTTTTGTGACAGCAGTGTTTATTACCGGTAACCATGTTTTCGCGAAAATAAGTAAATATGTAATATTTATGTCTTGTTCGGACAGCACAGCTGTTTGTTTTTGTAATTTGATATTTATTTTAGCCTACTATCTTGTTCTTCACATTGATTTCTTATCCATAAAGTGATGAAACTCATTTGAACTTACGAAACAAATTACTCTACTAAAAATATCTCAGTACGTAATTCACGTCCATGTAATCTAGGAACAATGGGATACAAAGGCAGTCTATCATCTACAATTTAGTGTAGTTCATACTTACATTGGGTGAAATTTAGTTAAATATTTGGTACAGGAGTCTAAAATTACTTGCTTTCATGAAACTAACAACCATGATATACTCAGTACAAACGAATATTAATTAAAGTTCCTAAAGAGTTGACTGATAGTGACGGAAAATCTTATATTCCTGAGATTAAAGTTCAAAGGTGATATACCCAGTGAAATGATGAATAAGAAAAATAGAACGAACAATTAACGTAAAAACATTATGCCCCTCTCTATAAACAGAGACGGATTGTGAATAACAGTGGAATCTAAGACTCGCGTCCCAACCTATTTGGAACCCGTCAGTCGGATGGACCTGCATCCCAGAGTTAATATTGATTTAATGACCAGGATCCCAACTGATCGATTGCAGTCCTAAACCTCAATGAGATTATTCAGGCAACCAATACAAATCAATTAAACCAGCTCATTGTATCAACCAGTAACTATTTGGATTAAGTAGATAAGAGGATTATGCGATTATGGCATAGTGAAAGTTTCTGAGGATTGACAGCATACTTTTTTTTGATGGAGTTTTGTTCTGAGCTAGATGGCTTGGTAGTGGAGCTTTCGTCGACATCAGCACAAACTTCAGATGATGTCGTTCAGAAGAACGACGAAAGCTCCACGACCAAACCATCTAGCTCAGAGAACAAAACTCCATCAAAATCATCCACGTAAGCTACAAATCTTCACCATTGACAGCATACGCAAGCACACATTAAATATGTGAGAATCAACCACAAAAAAATAAACAGAAACATGTACTATCCAGTTATTCTATGAGAATAATTTGCATTAGACCCAAGATTCTATTATATATGTAGCTGCAAATACTCACCGTATTAAAGTCACCCAGAGAACAGGCACACTAGATACAATTAGTTAATTATAACGTATATGTCGAATCAACACAAATAAAATTTATGGTAAAATGTACCATCTACCATACACAATTAGAGATGTTCTCTTTTTTAAAAAATACAGATGTATCAAACAAAAACGAAAGAAAGAGGAAAACAAAGAAAAATACACATGACGACTCGGACAAATCATCAATGAGTTGCATAAAAAACTGAAAACAATTCCTGATCATTATAGCGGTAAAGTTTATTTTCAGTAAACTATTCATAAAAGGAACATATATTTTAATAATATTAAATTTATTAAAGAATAGGCAAAATATTCGTAATTTCCTTGATTTTTATTGTACACCCAAAATCAAAATATATTAAATCGTCTCCAATTTTATCTTGTCGGCGGAAGGGAGTAGTGTGTGTGTGTGTGTGTAATGACGAGAAAATTAACTTCGACTGATAATTTTAATTTGGAGGTGCTCTAGATAGTTCACTACCTATCTGATAAGTGATAATTTTATTCCAATCTAGTTTGGAACGAGTTAAAGGCAGTTGTCGCCGAAGAGCTTTGAAAGTTGTGTCGGACATTGTTTTGAAGTTCTCGCCAATGGCAACCTACAAAAAAAGTATATATAGTGATTAGTCAGCAATAAACAACCTGCGGCGTGGCACTTAAATGGGGTGGGCTAACTAGCCACATAAAAACAGCGTATTAAGATAGAATGAACATAATACAAAGCGAAAGATTTGAGGTAGTAATTTCTATGATAGTCGAAAAGACTGTCGCTTAGAATGTGTTGACTATCGTTCTAGTCACTTGAATCACACTATCGTTTCCTTACGCAATTCACATTATCAGCTGACTTTAATCTTTAATAGGGCCAGACAAATGTTTATTTATTTATTTAAATACATAAACATTGGTACAAGAAGGCACCAAACAGATATACGCCACATAAACCATTCGATTTGTGTGAGGGCTAGAATACTGTCTGGGTTCCCAAACCGAAGCACGTGGTTTTCTTAGAGGGCCACACCCGAAACTTTCAACCTAAAGGTCTGATCCACAAGGCAGTGGAGCAACGTAAGGAGATGCAGTTTTATAGTAGTCGGTGACTAACAATAGGTTCATACGCCTTTTTCTCCCTCGGGATACTGAAGCCCATGTGTACTATTGGTTTGGAAAGAGGGTTTTCCAACTCCCCTAGGTGAATCCTCCATATCCACTAACTCGGTTAAAGCGCCAGACATTCGATTTTCGTCCTCTCAATTTCGTAAACAACACCACCGCTATGAGAAAGCAGTGAGTAGGACTTCCCCGGCAGTGAATAAATAAATAATATATTTGTAATATCACAATGAGTAGAAAAATTAGATTTTCTGACGTTTCGTGACTTAGTGTAAGTCACTTCTTCGGAGAATATATCACCAAATTTGGTCATTTATTTATTTATAACAGTCTACCCAATGCTCAATTTATTCGAAATTATCAAATCAAACCTTGGTAATGATACCTACTTCCCTGGGAGTGGTTGTATGCACGTGACCATGTGAGAGCATTTGGAGAGGGAGAGCTGATTCTCCCCGCTCTCGGCTGTACCAGGACATTTGGGGGCAATATTGTTTTGTGGTAAGTCAATATCCATAAAGTTTGTAATTCGGACAAGGTGACTATGACCTGTAGAGTTAGGTGAGAATTTCGGAGGTAGCACATTATTCAGTTTGAATTGATTTATACACCAGCCAATAATGGAAGACAACTAATTAAATCCTATTTCAACAGAAACTGTCAGTCACTCATGTAGGAATTCAGATAACTCACTCCCATTTGAAATTTGTCCTAATGATATGGCCTAGAAAGACAATGGAAACTTTACGACTAAATTATCCGGCTCATAAAATCCAATATTCCCACGGATGACTAAAGCAACTATAAACTTCAGATGAAGGGAATACAAAAGTTTGAATTTAATTACATTGATGTGACCGTTTCAAAGAATGATATGAGTAGGTTGTGAATAAAAATTAAAAATAAGATAATCATTATTTTAATCAGTACTAGAATGTGGGAAAAAAGTTGTGTATATAGTCGACACGACGGATAAGAAATGAAAAATCACTACAAGCCACGCGAGCTTAATGATCATTTAAGATCAGTAACTTGTTGGTTGATAATTTATGATGGAATTCATTTACCGAGCTCTGATTAGGCCCATACGGGAACATGCTGACTGATCTATTCTCAATTAAACAGAGATAGAGGATGAATCGAAGTGATAGGATATTCTCATTTTAATTTGATAGATTCTAATGCTTTAACAATTGTATTTTTATTATGAGGATTACTAGAACGCTTTGAATTTTTATTGTGATCTCGATACAGCCAATTGTTTGGGAAAGTTCAGACAGAACATCATAATAGTACTCAAGTCAAGCATTTTCCGTGTACGAAGGTTAACGACACAACTCAATCTCTTAAACTGAATAAAGTAGAGGAGGTTTCGATCTGGTGATCTAACGCTTGAAAGACAGTTCTTTAACTACAGTAGGTCGCCGCCCAAATAATACATATATATATTCTGTCAGCTAGCCATTGATTTTAATCTCCCGATAATTATTCGCAACCCGAGATTTGGGAATAGATTGAGTAAGTGAACCACCAGTAGTTTGATCCCCTCAGCAATTCCAGTTAATCGTCACATCAAAATGGTACTTGAAGCAATTGGCGAGAATGCTCTAGTTTTATAAACAACGTCCGTTTAAACTTCTTGTGATTTAAATCTGGCCAATTCTTTTATCAACATACTTCATATAGTACAGTATTACCATGCATATATTCAGACTCGTCTAGTATTTGAAGATTAGCTGGAAAGTGGATGGTCAGCCAGAAAACGACAGATCTGAAGAAACTAAGATGGAATCGGAATATATCATTACATTTACTAATAGTTAATTTATAAAGCGCTTGTTGTTGATAAGCACGGACTACTTACTTGATATGCACAATCAGCTTCTTTTATTCTCTTTATTGACTCCCTGGCAAATACCCTAGGGATAGATTCAGAGATAACAAAATCAACTTCTTTGGATGAAATCAATTGAACATTCCCCTCTTCGTATAAATGTGTCTACATTTTTATCAAAAAAGGGATTGAAACAGTAATATATCTTAAGAATTAAAACTCAAATAAGTACTTTGCACGAATTTTTAACTTATGAAAACATATAAAATTTACAACACACTTTATTCCACAAACAAAAAGGCCATTGTGAAGATTTCCGCATGATTTGACATGAAATCTTGTAATAAATTACACTCATTGAACAAGTTAGTTGCTGACTAGACTCTGAGACTTGGTGGATGAGGCAGTGGCATGTACAGAAAGCATATATTGGGTTTGAATCTTAGTGTGAAGTCAGGTACTGAAATGCAGATGCGTCTGGCTGACAAGTACTAGATAAAATGAAGTTTCAGATCTTAGATCTCAGTGCTAAACAAATTCCAAAAGTATTTGTGGGAAGATTAAGAATTAGTCTAATTCCATTACTGTAATTAATTTTGAGCCATATCACACAAGATCATTACCAACTGATATGTGCATCAAGGACCTCTTATCCACAACATCTACACCAATAAACTATTCGTAGACTAATAACAACTAATAGGATGGTCTCATAATACAGGTTCTATAATGCAGTGCACGTCGGTTGGAAAACAGTAACGATTATAAAGGAAGCAGTCAAGGGTCCTAGAGTGAAGTTGCACTGCTGAACGAACTAGGTCCTGGAACAGACATACTAATCATACTTCTAGACCTTAGGGCAATAGTCGACAGTTTTTATGATATCGCTCAGTTAAAAGGAGTCCCAAAGTACGTCAGCTACAACGTAGGATCAGGCACATACTAATTGAGTCATAACTTATTATGAGCCGATAACAGATTTGCCACCATCAAGTACTATTCGTTATGGTTGCCACTTTCTCTATTTTTGTCTAACTTCTCAAAGGCATTACTTCTGGGAAATACAAGAACAAATGACGTTTCCTCTACAAACACGCTTTTGGCTGTTGAGAATACAAAAAAATCATACGAATTATAAAATAATACCCAAACTATAAATATGGACACAATGCACACTGATACCCATTATCTTCAAGTTCTCAGTCAATTATTCAGTCAATAATAGAAAATTTGAAAGCCATATCAGTTTTTACAAGGTTCCAGACAAAAAAACAGTAGAACCCAGTTTACAATGCAAACACAAATATTCACAAACCTGAACTTTAATAACACCATGAACCGAAAACTCCATCGATTTTTGTCCAACTAGCTTGAAAGTCCATTCTGATCGCCATCGTCCAGTTCTACAAGTTGACGCAAAATAAGATACATGCATATCGCGATTATGACTTATGACTACGAACATTTGACAATCATTAAGTAATAAAATATTATTTAATTACGAAAAAGACTAGTTACCGAATGACTAGTGACTTCTAATAATCACACAGATGGAAAACTAGTTGATGGGGTTGTGAATCTGACGTGGTTGCAACATGTTAAGTATGTCAACCACATCCTATATTAAAGCGCAATTCCAACTCACGTAAGGGAAAGCTTGGGGCAAAAACATGAAATAACATCAGTTCATGACTTGGTCTGAGCCTTTCTGGTAGAATCAAATTACGTGTTTGGGACCACACGATAACCACGATTAGTGGCTAACATCGTTTTGCTTTGGTCACCATGGCACAGGCGCATTCACTTTATCATCCCCTAGATCTTGAGATTCAAAATCATTACACACCTTTTGTCTCGCGAATTAGTTCGTTATGCTCTAATCATGTTTTCAATGTGTATTCTTACTATTACCAGTGATAATTCTACTACCTTTGTATTCATTTTCCTAATTTCATCTCGCTATACTGACAGTGCAGCAACGGGTTGATGTATGCCGGGTTCCACAATGATTACAAATGACCGGATAAATAGGGGCACAAACTTCAACAGCAATGCAAAAAAAGTCAACTTTTAATAGCAGAACGAAACATCGCTTCGTAAAGTTCGTACGAATCACCATAAATAACTAATAAGGAGTGCAGTGCAAACTTTCGTACTAGGCCAAGACCTAAACTCCAATGTTTGAAAGCCAATAATGCACCCTACAATAACATTTCCGAGTAGTGAACCATTGAGTACTGAGACTGGTCAACCAAAACCTGGTGAATAAAAATGCATTATTACCATAAAACGACGTAAATTTATGCAGAATGATCATACAGAAAATACAACATGCACAAAATTCACGACTTCGCGTGTCATTTGTTTTCTTAGGATCCTGAAGCCCATGTGTAGCAGTGGTTTGGAATGAGGGTTTTCTAACTCTCCTTCGTATCCACGATCCCGGTTAAAGCGCCGGAAGTCCGCTTTTCGTCCTCTTAAAAAAACCTCAGTCCCGAGAAGGCAGTGAGTAGGAATTCCCTGACAGTGGCTGTATACGTGTGATGATGTGAGAGCATTTGGGAGGGAGCTGACTCACCACTCTTAGACGTACCAGAGCACTTGGGGTCAGATAAGTCATAAAGTATGGGCCTTTGGTTTTTACGGAGGCCATACCATGAATGTTGGAAGTTAGTTTTAAAAGGCTGACTACCGTACTTATTTAACTAGAATGATTAACACTGGAGATACGTCAAGTAATGATGAACAGTAAATATATGAGGAAATCCAGACGTTAGAAATAGGACTGAAGGGGTAGAAGAATATTTTCGCATGTTGGACACGAGACAAACTAGATCAGTCCCAAAGACTTCTCAACTTGGATGAGTAATCATATAGAACAAGGAATGAAATCGTTTATGTAGGTCGAATATGGACTTATTTGGTTGTTAAACTTAACACCAAAGATCAAGTGTTCATCACGAAAATCTACCGTCGTGCCTTGGCAAAGCACTAGGTTTTATCAATTTGGTTGATTATCTAATTGGTTTAGGAAAACAAAAGAATTCATTATTCAGTTTATGGTTTTGTAAGGATATCAAACAAAAACGTACTGTACCGTCAGGTGTCATTTAGGCCAATGTTAGGATTAAAGTACTGAATTCAGAACTGGCATACGTCGTAAAGAGTGGTAACTAACTAAATGACTAGAAATTTATAGAGAAACTAAAGAAAAACTATAGGAATGAACAATTTAGTACTTACGATTGATGTTTGCTGAAGTGAGATTCAATGCACATAACGAGACATCGTGCACTATCATTCGACCTCAGAGCGTAAACTTCGACAGCTCCATCAGGGAAATGTTCGTTTACATAGACAGTAGCGCTATCTTCTAAGGCACGCCTCCAACTCTCCAGATCACAGTCTATATTATCAAAGCTACTCTTGTCAAAACTTTTAACATCACTGACTGTCTGCTTGAGGTGGTCAAAATGAAATGTCAACTGCGATCTAGGACACATAAAATATCCATTCCCCAAGTCTGCGTATGCAGTAATCAGAGTCGGATACTCGCAATTTGGTAACTTTACATGGATCATTTGGTCCTTGTTATACTGTGCTACTGATCTAGAAGAGTTGAATAGTATAAATTTGTTCTTACGCTGCTAGCTTCTCATGAATATGATGGTCATCACCAGCGAAACAACGGATATCTGAATGAATGTGTGAGCGATTCGTACACCTTACCATCTAATACTTCATTAAATTCACAGGGCGGTGCAAGTAAAACTAATCTAGCACATATAGTGGCCTTTAAAACAAAATTGTCGATTTAACCAGGTATGAACAGCAGGATACCTTATCCTCTGGCGTAATATCCCCATCCACCATCTTAGCGATTAACAAACCAACAAGGCGCAAAGTCACAAACTGCGCGCTCCTATTTTGAAGAGGAATGCGAAGTTCAGGTAGATTCAGATTTTCAGAACTGTGTAATAAGAACAGAAAGCCTGTGGCCTATGTTGTTCCTTTTCTAGTATACTTCTGGGAGTGCCTAGTTTTCTCTTGAATGAGTCAATCGAAGGTGCGGACACCACTGCCTTGAGTAACGGGTTCCGATAATTGATGACTCATTGTGAAAACCCGTATGCCATGCGTATTTCGTTCGTTCTTTGATTTTCTAATCGCCTTCTATGTCCTTTGAGTCTTCCTGACTGAAAGGAAGAAAGAGGGAGGATATATTAGATCCAAAGCCATTACTCAGTATTCTATACATCATTATCAGATCACCTCTTAATATGTGATACGACAGAGTAAAGAAGTCTAGCTTTTCAAGCCACTCTTTTTATAGTAAACCCTGGAGTTCTAAAATTGCATGCTTATTTCCCCTCTGTACTTTTTCCAGGATATCCGAGTCACCTTATAAACAAGGGCTTACAGCCTGAGTGCAGTTTTCACGTTCAGTTCTCATCAAGGTTGTGTTGACACTTATGGGCATAGTGGTGCCTAACTTGATAAATGTCCGTCTCAAAACCCATAGGGTTCTAAACCCCTTAGTCTCTACCTCACGGCAATAGGCCGGGGTCTTAAGATCATAATCCACTATCACCCTATGATCCATTTGAGACCGGACTATGGGTACAGGTACTTCCCCTGTGCTGTACCTAATTACCTTTGTATCCCCAAAGTACATGTAGATACACTTTGCTGCGTTGATAGGCGTCAGCCACTCTTTGAATTAGCTAATCACAATATTTAAGTCAGCCTGAAGTGCGCATGCATCTGAGTCTCCCGTTATTTTTCGCCAGATTTTCATATCAGCGTATAATAACATTGGGACTCAACTATACTTGAGAGATCATTTACACACAGTATGAACAGTAAAAGGCCTAGGACAGAATCTCTCGGTAGTCCACTAAGTACTGGTCTCCAGATGGAGCACTTGAAATTTACTCTTACTTTCTGTTTACGACCTACTAGGAACTCCTTAAGCCATTTTAGGAGAAGTCCGGCAATCCCTAGATTTTCCAGCTTCAAGTACAGTCTATTTGTTGGCACTTTGTCAAATGATTTGCTGAAGTCTATGCAGACAACATCCACTGATTTTCCATTGTCTAGAACCTTTACCCATTGCTCCCGTGCTATCAGGAGGTTTGTTGTAAAAGATAAACCTTTTTTGAAACCATGTTTTTTGCTGTTTAACAAGTTGATGGTTTCCACGAATGTCATTATGGTCCTTTTGGCTATTCTTTCCAGTATTTTAACCACGATGCCGGTGTGACTGACAGGTTTGCAGTTCGATGGAGGTTTTTTTGATCCTGTTCTATGTATTGGAGTGACGATTGCATCCTTCCAGTTCGTAGGTAACACACCTTGGTCAAGTGATGTATTGAATATCGCAGTCAGTGGGGCTGCAATATATTGTGCAATATGTCTCAAGATTTTTGGGTGCATTTCATCTGGCCCTGTTGACTTTTCCATGTCTAAGGTGATAAGACCCTTAAGTACATCGTCTTGATCGAAGTCCACGGTGAGCAGGCGGATTGCTGACTCTTCATTTTGGCCTGGTTCTTTCTCTAGAGGAGGTTCCTGAGTGAAAACTGCCAAAAATAGTCAGCTAAAGCCTCTGCTTCTTCCTGATCTTCCTCTATCACTACAGATTCACTCCCTTCTTTAATTAGGTTTGGAATCTAATGATGAATCCTTGTTCTATAGTTTATGTACGAGAATATTCTCTTGGGCTGCTTGAATGCAGATTGTGCCAAGTGCGTTTCATATTTTCTTTGAGCTTCCCGGATTTTAATTATACACTTTTTTCTTACTGACCTGTAGCGTTTCAAAGTACTTGTTGTGACAAGAATGATGACAACCTTCGAACATTTCTTCTTTTAACTTGGTTAATGTCAAATATCCCGGCCTATCCAGGGATGGCCATGCTTCTTATCTGCGATCGTCCAGGGTATATATGGTTGAGTTACCTGATTGTATAAGTGCTTGAAATGAGTCTGTGTCTCTTCTACTGATGCCTATGAGTCAATTATCCTGTTTTCAGCCGATGCTGCAAAGTTTATCACCTTCATGTCTGCCTTCCACATGCTAGGACGGGCTGGTGCAATTATTTGACAAGCGATGTTAAATATGTGCTTGAACAAGATGACTGCATGACCACTTCTCCCTAAAGGTGGGAGGAAAGTTATGTGACTGACATCATCACCATGTTTGAAGATTAGGTTTGACAGAGATGAGGAGCTTCGTAAGTCTTATCTTGAAGGATTTCTAATGTGCTGAAACAAAGCTAGTGCAATCGAGATTTCTAACAGTTTACAATCAAACGAAGTTGTCGATGACCCTACTTCTATGTTTACCCAATTTATATACGGTACATAAAAGTTGCATGCCATAAGGCCTTTACAGATATTACACCAAGACTTAAGTTTGCTTAGGAGGAAGTCATCTACTACACATTCTGGACTATGATATACTACAATCAATTTAATATCTTGCCGTCTACATTTCAGCCCGAAGCGTACCACTTCACGTGTCCCTGGGTTATGTGCCGCTGTCTCGACAGTTTGTATGGTTAAGGTTATTTTCCTGTCTAGGATAACCCTACAACCCCTATGTTTTGGTCTATAAACCCTACTAGGTCAGAAACCAAGCAATCTAGCTTCACATTTCACTACATCGTGCAACACACCTCTGACAACTAACCATAATAGGCATTATAAGCCACAAAAGTTTAGTCTGTTATCCAAATTTATCTCGTTCCGTCGTCTTGAACTCTTGCTTTCAGTGGTTTCAAGACCATTTCGTTACAAGTGGGTCGGACAACATTATTACCTGACTTGGTAGAATTTCAGTCTAGGTCGATATTAAGCGCGTTTATCTTTGCCACCAAAATAATAGACCTAATCCCGAAATTACAAGTCTGCCAAGATGTGACTACCTCATGTATAAGATCATACACAGAAGCCACGTCGTTGTCTATGCTAATCCGTTCTATTTTGACAGTCAGAAGTAGGATATTTGGGACTTCTGAATAACACACTGGGGTTGGCAATGGAATAATGTATTTAATATGCATAGGAATGGGTTACATAAAGTGACCATGTCTGTATGGCCAAGCCGTGTCATACCGATTCAGTGTTCCTTCGTTCATCAATTCTGACCTTCTCAACAGTGTTAAATGTCAAATTTAAAGCTCAGTTATTATATGTTCGGCCTATAAGATCGTGTGGTTGCGAACCAACACCAAATGCAAAACCAAGTGGGATTACCGAACTCTGGTGGTTATCAAAAGAAGTGAACGACCCTATGTTGGTACTAAGCAAGGGTTAAAGTGATTTCTGTCCAAATTTGAAGGTCAAACATGCATTCCCCGAAGATTACCTTATTACTCTGATTTTCCCCTCACTAATACTGTCTTTAGTAAAATGGGTTACGCGGAGAAATTTTTTTGAGACCCAATAACACTGTTAACTAGTTCACGAAATGTAGAATACATAGCAATTTCCGACACAACAAATGCTTCATTGAATATAAAAATCTGGTCATTTTGTTCAACGATAAACTACCAATGAGACATTTCAGTATTCACAGGGCTAATATGGTCCAGCCTTGAAAATACTATTTTCCATTTATCAGTCAATTTACAAAATTACACCACTTTGTGAGAGTGAGCAGGTTTCCACTGATTTTTGTTGAATTCTTTAATTTCTAGTCGATAAGCAACATTTGTCGTTCTCCTTTCTTTTTTAAAATCACATGAATAATATTATATTCAATAAAACAAAATCGTTGGGAAACGAGGTTCAGATGCTGGCGATGAGACTCCCTGCCTGGACTTGGGATTAAACAGTCATTGAGTTAAGGGTGCGAGAAGCTTATACCTTGAAACATTTTGCCAATGAATCTCTTGGAAGTTTAAAGAACACTTCTTAAGTCGACAGGTTTATTCGAAAATCCGCAGCATCCAAAAGCGATGATGATAGTTGTTTTAGGAAACCTTTCAAGGTCTTTCAAGGTAGCTGTACGGCAACGAGGAAACATCAGGAGTAATTTCCGTATTAAGTAGCCGGTAATATGTAGTTAGATCCCAGCCGCTGCCGTACGTTTTAGGGACAATATCCAGAGTATATGCTCATAGGCTATCATATGTTCGAATTCATTTTTGCCCCATCGAAGTGTTTCGGGAACTAGTCGGTGGCTTTCAAAAATACGGGTTGTCCTATAGTCCCGATATAGTGTGATGCCTTCACACAGTAGTCGAGGTCAAGTTTTGTAAGGTTGAGGGTACTTGTCAGGTGTCGGTTCGAAGTATGGATCGATCATATGTTTACTTGTGGCCGGGTATAGCTTCCAACCAGGAAATGACAATCCTAAAACATATAATTTCGTGTTTCCGTCCACTAACCCCAGTTTGCTCTGGTTGATGAGTAGGTTATGATGTCATACCAGGTCTATACCACTGACTGGCATTGAGATGTCAGCAACCACGAATACCAGTGAAAGGATCTGCGTAAACCCATGTTAGGGTAAACATATCTTTTACCGTGTGTGGCTATTGGTCTTCCATTTATCGTTTGTAAGTTGAAGACCAGATATTGCAGGTGGTCACTAGATTTGTGGGAAGAACGCTTACTTCTGCCCTAATGTCGAAGAGATGGAGAAAGTTCGACGTCATATTAGTGATGTACAGTGTACGTCTCTTTCCATCGACTAAAGTTGCAATTAGTTCACGTCGATCGGGAAGCTTCTTATGAGGTTTGTCGTGATGAAAGCTATGCAGTTAGGGAAATTCAGGGTTTCTTGTAGATTTTAGAATATTTATCATAGATGTTGTAGTATTAACTCGAATAAGAGTTGTCTGTTTGTCACGGTCTAGGAGCGAATATTTTTTGCGACGGCCTAGTTTGGGGAGTTCTGGACAGTCTGCGAGTATGCTGAAGGTTAATT